AAGTGCTGCCAAAGTTTGTGGTCAAGTCTACCGTACTTTCTATGTTTGAAATGTCGGCGCTCACGGTATAGTAGCCCTGATTTCCTATGTCTGTGATATAGTTGGAGAATATTCCGTCGCCTTTCGTGATGTCCGGTGCGCCCGACCCGTTGTCATACATATCGATGGGTTTTGGTTTCCCTTTGCATCGTATATAACACTCAATTTGACCGAAACATCGGCTATGAGTTCGTCCAGTTGTCTATGAATGTTGACGTAAGCCATGACCGGCCTATTCGTGTCAGTCTTCGGATCAAACACTTGCGTATTGAGCCAACACTGAGCCTTAATAATGGTGTCGTCCACTGAATTGGTGGCAAACTCTGCCACAGCTATCACCGACTCACTCGTGTCCGCGCGAGTGGCTGTTAGTTGAAATTCGCCGGATATATCATCGGACTTATCGATGGTGACAATAAAACCCTGGATATAACCCTGGGTGTCTTTGAAAGGTTTGGGTGTAAAACTTCTTGATAGTTGTCTTAATTGAACACCAGAAATAGGTTTATCAAGGGCAGTATTTGTTCGCATGAAATATACTCTTAATGTCTTTGTCTTAGGACTGTCACCATTCATGAGACTATTGTCGACATTAAACTTGAAATCAATTGTCGTTCCGCCCGAAGGGTCGATATATTTCTGATCGATAATCTGGTAATCATTAGTGAGATCTCCAAAAGCCTTCATAAATTGGTGGGCAGTGCGAGCGGCCAATGAGTCCTCGCGCACGTAGACTACCCGTCCACTCGTCACAGACGCGGCCGTTTGGAAGAGCGGAGACGCAAACACTCGGTTCACGTGGGCGTCAAACGGGAAGACAATTATATTCAATTTGATGCCCTTATCCCTCAACTGTACGGCCAGTTTGTCCACTTTGTCCACGTTATTGGATGTCTTGATCCCGGGTCCACCGATTACCACGACAAATGTGCCCCCGTTTGATCTAACATGAATGTTGTAAATACAAAAATGTCACACCTGCATTATACTGCAGCCACTCACTTAATATCGGTGAACATCTCGATCCCGTAGTGCAAAACGTTTTCAAAATCCACGCTCTCAATGGTCTCGGTAGGTCTTTGCAAATAAGGTAACAGGTAAGTTTGTGTCCACCTGTTATGTGGCACTATGTCGGTCTCCGCAACGTTAGCGCCCGATGTAAATGTGAACAGCGATACCAACGAGTCGGGGAACTCTGTCTTATATTTATTGAGACCTAGATTAACCCATTTAATGCGATCATTATAGGCTGTATTAGTGATTATGGCGTTTAGTATGGCAAACAGTGTTCTCATCTCTTTGGCCGCACTATCCGATTGCTTAGCGATTATGACCGTCGGTTCAGGTATTGAATCCGTTATTCTGTTATAATTGGTATTTATTAAGTTATCAGTGAAAAAGATTTAAAGTAAAATTATCAGGGTTGTTAATCGTTACATTTTTATTTTACTACGTAATAAATTATCGAAAAACTCGTCATGATGTTTTGATTGAGTTAATATTAATTCAATGTTAGTATCCTTAAGAATATTCTGATCGATAGCCCAATCATTATATTTACTCAAAACGTACGAACAGTCAGGCCTTCGGTTCCATTGAGGGGTTGACATCATTGA